TGTCTCTGTGTGTGTCTGTCTCTGTGTGTCATTGTGTGTCTCTGTGTGTCTCGGTGTGTCTCTGCGTGTCTCCGTGTGTCTGTGTGTGCGTGTTTGTTTGTCCGTGTCTGTGACTGTGACTGTGACTCTGTCTGTGTTTGTGTCTGTGAGTGTGTCTGTGTCTCTTTGTGTTTTTCTGTGTGTCTCTGTGTGTCTTTGTGTGTCTCTGTGTGTGTCTGTGTCACTGTGTGCCAATGTGTGTCTCTGTGTGTCTCTGTATGTCTCTGTGTGTCTCTGCTGTGTGTCTCCGTGTCTGTGTCAGTGTGCATGCGTGCGTTCGTGCGTGTTTGCGGGCAGGCAGGCAAGCGTGCGTGCGTGCGTGGTGGGTGGTTGGGCGGGTGGGTGGGGTGTTGTGAAGACCATTGAAGCGTTGCTCAGCGGACATGTGATGCTATGTGCTTGCATTTGTCAGTCTTGCTTTGTCTGATCTGTTTCTTGCGAGGAGCAAGCGCAGAGTGCAACTTGGCTGGCTCGTGCAAATCGAGGACGGTTGAAGGCAGTTGTGGTGCTTGGTAGGGTTGTGGTAGCTCATGGCAGCTTCAGGTGTTTTGTTGTTGGCCTCAGGCAAAAGAGCCGTCCTCTTTGATGGAAGATGTCACCGACGCGCAGTCGAGCCAGCCGCCAGCAGCGCTTCAAAGCACGAGCAAATGGGTAGAGGTACCTGGGAAGGAGGACGCTGGACGAGAGCTGGCAGCAGCTGAAGCAGGCAAAGACAAAGCAAGTGTGGCAGTCAGATCTGAAGAGCTGGTAGAAGTTGATTCTGCTGACAAGGCGGCTTGCAATTTAGTATGACACTGTTGTGTGGAGAGTATGGAGCATTTAGCTGGCAACGTAACAAACATATTGGCGCTAGCCATTGCTACAGAGGTTCGACAGTACATTTGCGCGCGAATAGTGATAGCACGTGGTCATGTGCTTGCATTTTCCCAGATCTTGCTTTGTGTGTTTGGTTCTTGCAAGGAGCAGGCACAGCGCGCAACTTGGCTGGCTGGTGAAAATGGAGGATGGTTGAACAGTTGAAGGCAGTTGTGGTGCTTTAGTGTTGCCGCGCTGGCCTTGAGCATGTTTGGGTCGTTTGCAGTGCTAGCTCATGACAGCTTGAGGCGTTTTGTTGGCCTCAGGCAAAAGAGCCGTCCGCTTTGATGGAAGATGCCACCGACGCGCAGTCGAGCCAGCCGCCAGCAGCGCTTCAAAGCACGAGCGAGTGGGTAGAAGCACCTGAAACGGAGGACGCTGGACGAGAGCTGGCAGCAGCTGCAGCAGGCAAAACCGAAGCAAGTGCGGCAGGCAGTGCTGAAGAGCTGGTAGAAGTTGATGCTGCGAAGGCGGCTTGCAATTCATGGTGTGACACTTGTGTGGAGAGTGTGGAGCATTCCGCAGGACTCGAACCGGCCAAGCCTTGGGGGCTGGCGTGCCCGCGGGCAACGTCTGGCGGCCATGGCCAAGACCGAGAGCGACAGCGACGCGCCAAAAGGCAGCCTGGCGACGCCGGAGGCGCGGAAAATGCGCCTAAAGGAGATTGCTAAGAAAATGGAGGAGGACCGCGCCACTCTGCCCATTTCTAAACATGTCGTGCAAGCCAGCATTGTTTGAACAGCCTTCTCTCTTCCCTTGGCCTCTCAGGGTCTAGTTGTGGGATCAATGTTTGCCCAACCCAGGACACGCACGGCACGGAGTTCGACATAGATTTGGAGGACGGCATCCTTGGATTTAAGTTCACTCCAGGCGAACTTCGTGTGGAGCAGGTTATGGAGGACTCCGCATGTGCGAAGCAGGGCCTTTGTGCCGGAGACCAGCTGATTCAAGTGGACCTGGAACCTGTGGAAAACTTGTCTTTGGATCTGTCTGAAAAGCTGCAAACACGTCCTCTGCGCATGCGCTTCCGCCGACCCGTTGCCCGCAGGCAGGGGCGGTGGCAAATGGTATAATCAGAATGGTGTCCTTTGAAAACCGACAAGAGCTTGTAAAAACGACACTACCGTGTTACATACCCTTGTTCATACCCCTTACCTTTTTTCCGACCCACTGCATGTCCTAACTAAAAGGTTTCACCTGTTCGACAGCTTGCGAGGGAGTGGGACCTGGGCACCGCGGGGGCTGTGATGAGTGGCTTGAGCCGCTGGACCAAAAGTGCGAAGACGGCCGCGGAGGCCATGAGGCAAAAGGAAAAGGAGCTCGAGGAGTTACAGGCGCTGAGTCACTGGGTGTTCCAGTTGGTACAAGTTGTGAAGAGAAGGGAAATCCGAAAGGACAACCGGACAACCGGTCTGTTTTCGTTTTTGGGCCCTTAGTTGGACACATACTCAGATTCCAAGAGGGGTGGAAATGTATGCGTGCATGAACCCCCACCGAAATGATGTCCACCAAGGGTCCCCTGTCAAATTTACACCCCGCAAAACTTCTTATAAACATGTCCTTTTTACCAGGATTTGTTTCCCATGAGCAGGCAGATCACCTTGGAATGGGAGCCCTGCCCCCTTCCCATACAAGCAAGCTCGTTTGGCAAGAGCGGGCAAGAGAACGGTGTTTTTTCGAAGCGTCGGATCCAAAGTGCCGATTTCGCCAGGCCAAAGCAGAGGCCGATTGGGAGGATGGCGTCCCGGAAGATGAGAAACGAGTCTTCCCCAGGCCGAATATACACAGGTATCTCGGCTCGCCTTTACAGGTGCAACTTTTTCTGCGAATCCCTTCTTGGTTGGGTTTAACGGGAAAGCAAAAGGAGGCTCATGCCATTTGAGCCACAATCAAAACCCGGGTAAATAAAGGTTAGTAAGGGGCAGTCCCAGCCAGAAATAGTTGCGGCCGCCTTTCTAATTCTTTACGTGGTTCTGGGTTCGCCATTTTTGTACCAGGTTTTGATTGTGACTCATTTGGGTGTTGCCACACGGAACCCCTTTGCAAAAGAAAAGTAGTTTTCCAAAAAGAGGTCTGTGCACTTCATGCTTAGCAGGAGGAAAAGTGTAGCCTTTAGCCTGGGATACATTGAGGTACAAGTGGGTGCTTCGTACCTGCTTCGAGCACGACTGGGCCTTCATCCGCAGCTTGGTTACTCTTTAGGTGGGAGCAAAGTAGTCAAAGCCGGGACTTTATGTTTGCTCCATTTTTCAATACCACCCCCACCCCTGACACCCTAGTTTTTCACACAAGATCGAGGTCAAGGATGCCCATGCCGGTGACTCGCTCGGAGTTTGAGGTCAAAAGCTTCTCCGTGAGGACAATGTCTTTAGGGAAGAAGAAGTCGACGAGGCTGCGATTGCCGAGCTTGGTGCTCCATTTGCCAAACAGAGCAATGGATCCAAGGATTAGTAACCATTTGCCGACCCCTGGTTCACTTGTAGTAACTGGGGGGAACCCCCAATCATCCATCTACAAGGTGGCTTGATCCGACAGATTTGACAGCCCTTGCAAGTTGGGAACATGGCATGCTGATCAGGTGGGCGAGTGCTTGAGGACCAAGTACATGCAGCTTGGAATTGATACACTGGATCATTCCTTTGGAGCACACGCGCGGTCGCAAGGTGGGTAATGCCATTGTACAGAAAGACATCGTCAGAGGAGACCAGTGAAGGTGGCTCCTGCCCCGAGAATATCAGCCAGCTGCGCGGCTGAGATGGCAGCTTCCGGCAGTTTCCTCATCCACTGCCATGGTACCGAGAGACGTGTCCAACAGTCTGTTTCGTCCTCAGGTTTGGCGTGAGCAGGCGCTCGATCATGAAACTGTTGGGCCCGGAAGGCGGGACTGGGACAAAGCCGAAGGATTCTGCTTCTACAAAGCTGCTCCCTCTGCCCCCAAAGCAAAAAGCAACACATAGCTCCAGTTTTGGTCCATTTTAGTCTTTCCAACAATTGAAAAGTTTGGGAGGTCCAAACAAGGGTGTGACAACAGGAACACTCCTTCTGCAGTCGCACCTGGAACCCCAAAAGTAGATCCATTTGTAGAGGAAGCTTCCTTTGGGCAACCCCTGTGTGGGGCAACCCATGTTAAGTTGCAGGGGAGTATTCTAGCTGAGATGCTGTCTAAATGACTGGTGAATGTTGAGAGGCATGAGAGAACCAGCTCCCGCTATTTTCCAGGGATTCGAATAAACCCATATTACGAGCAACTGTCCAGACTATGTACTTGTACTCTATTGTAGTAGGGGGAGGACACAGGGGGCCGAAGTACCCAACATTTCCCACAATGAACAACGCATGTTTCAGCTTTCCGGAATTTTGCCCGCCAGATCCGCCGGTATTGGGAATGTGTGTTTTGAGGGCGCCCTGTCCGGGGTATTCCGGAGTGGCTTGAAAGGACACCAACGACCACCATTTCAGGGGGCTCCCCTATTTTGAGACACATACCCATCGGATTGGTTTCAACATGAAGCAGCATGATGTTCAACTTATTTGACACAGTCCCCATGCGACGAAACAATTTGCAGGCATCAGCATTGTGGACAAGAGCACGCTGACGCAGGCTCCGGCACGTGGGTGCTTTCAGGGCCCCGCACAAAGTGTGTCTTAACCTTTGTGATTTCACACGGGAGAAGGAATTTCGACCCATGGTATATGTTTGTGGCTATGAATTTATTGGCGGACACCCCAGCAAATGATAGGTCGGCATATGTATATATATATATATATATACCCATGTCATGCCCACCAAAGAGTGCCTAACGGATCACATGGGGGATATAGCAAGCTCTGTGAAAACAAACTTCGGCTCAAGCCATTTGGCAATCCATTTGTGGGATGTTCTGAATCTTTGGGACACTGTGGCCATCTTCATTGCCTTTCTGACTAGCCTGGCGCCTGTGTTTGGTGAGGAATGCTGTTGGGTTCAGCTTCAGGAGAATAGTCTATGAGGATGTGTCCTTTGAGAAGAGATTCTTTGCATTTGTCATTGTTGGCTGCACCACCTCAACAGGTGAATGGCAAAACCACTTATCGCCCATGCAAGGGAGTCCAGTCCCTGCCAGGTGTAACAACAGTTATATTCAACCTTCTTTCCAGCCAGTTGGGAGAACCCAGTGTCAGCTTTCAGATGCTCAGGTGGATTTCTCAAGGACCTTCCATTCCCAGTCGAATCCACATGCTCTCTACAAGCCATGAGCCGCAAGCACTGCCAGGCCAAAGTTGGTGAGGTCTACAAGAAGGCGAATTACGCTCTTGCAGAGGAGACAGCTGGCTTTGCTGCAGCTTGGATTCAGTAAAACCGATTCGCCAGAAGGACTTGATATGATCGCTAAGGTGCGCTGTGACAACCTGCTATCTCGACACCAGTCGCTTGGGCATACATATCCCAGAATTCACTGGAACTCATGTGGGGCTGTTGGGTCACCCAAATTGCGAGCCGAGGTTTGCAGAGCTCTTGGTGTGGATTGCCATTACCAAATGGCCCAACGAACCAAAGGCCTCGCTCGCATTTTGCAGACTGTGCGCAGGGACCGCCCTCCAGACCATTCGCTTCCCAGACCTTTAGTGGGTTCCCTGTGTTCCTTTTGTTTTGCGAGGCGTCCCTTTAAAATCAAACACAACAAGGGCGTAGATTCCCTTAAGTCGCCAAGAGACAAAGTGGGTGTTTTCCACTGTCAGACGAGAAAGACATGTTTGACCCACTCTTTCAAACCAGCGGGCCCCGCCCGAAGGTGAAGTCAGTGGAAGATATCTTCCAGGAGACTGCAGCTTGCGCCTGTCAGAAATTTGAGCATCCAGTGAGCCACGGATTCACCTACTGTTTGGTTTCTCCACATGGGTGTGTCCGCAAACAAATCGTGGTTGCTCCTGTGGTTCCCTTAAACCACCCTTTACCGACACAATCGCTGGGCAAGTTGCCACGCTTGAATGTGGCTGGTGCAGGAACTCTCAACCGTTTGCTCAAAGTACAGAGCTGGTCTTAGTTGAAGTCAGGAGATTCACGTTTCATGCCACACATTAGACGTTTACATGGAGAACACCATGGCTTGTCAGGTGGTGACATGAGGCTATTGCTTGCGTCCGGATCGGATGACGCTGTCCAAGAGACCTTCGAGCAAATCGAGTCTCAAACGTGGCTCGACTGCCCTTGGCAGTTTTGTGCAAAATTAACCGGACTCAATCAGTCGGACAGTTTGTCCTGAGTAAGCAAAGGTGGGCTGTATTCACGACGATGTCATCGATCCATGAGATTTCGCTGCTTGCCTTCTTTCATTCTCTGGAGCATGCATGGGCCACTTGGGAATTGCTCACAACTGTCTTAGCCATCTTAGACGTTGGTAGAATCAAAAGTCAAGTTACAAGTTGTTTTTGGGCGCTTCCCACTTGTTGTTCTTCACAGGTACGGCCACAAGATGATGACATTGCAGGATTGGCGTCACTTGTATGCACTTCGAGCGGCGCGGTGCGCAGGATGTCGCTAGTTTCATTCGACCGCTAAGGGACTCTGCTGAATCGGATGAACATTTTTGCAATTTTTCCGGCCATCAAGAGGCGCCAATCGGATTCTGAGTGTGAAACAGTCCCGTCACCAAAAGCAGCAGCCGTTCCTATGTCTGTGGTTGTCTTTCTGTTAGTTGGGGGCGCTTAAATGAAAACCAAAGGAACGCCACGGTTTGGGGGTTTCAGTGTCCAGTGTTTTGCCAGACTCGTTTCGCAGGAAGTATGCAGCCTATACCTTCCGCATGGGTTTGGAGCCGCAGGCGGATGAGCAGCTTGGACTGAGCTTGCTGCTCTCAAAGGTTTAGGTCAAAGTACGACTGTGAATCTTATTGGGGAATACCTCCCCCAATTGGTTGGTGGACTTTAAATTACGATGTTCACCAAAGGGTCCCCAATTGAGTTCAAGACCCATATGAGTGTGTCCTTCTCTTGGCTTTAAATGGAAGCAAACCGGAAGCCACTTTGTCGGGACTTCCCCCATTTTGAGACTAACCCAACATCCGAATTTGTCTACGGTCCATTTGGGAAGTACATGGGACTCGCACAATTTCCCACAAAAGCCCAGGAACGAGCCCCAAGTTTCACCATGTATTTTGACCGTGGCTCATGGGGCTGTGGGGCTTTGGAACTCTCTGGCTTCATGCAACGCCTTAAGGGTCCAACACTGTCCATTTCTGACAACCCCCATATTCACATTTTCCGAGCAATGTTTAAACTCGAGGCCGCCCGGTGCTGAGTGCATCTAACATCCTTTCTGCCCAAACACGCCACGATTAGTGGACTCTCTTGCGCTATCAACATTTGGTGGGGAAATCAGTTGGTCTCAGAGTTTTACTGCATGTCATGTGTGCAGAGGTGCCAGAATCGAGGCTACATGATGTTGCATGAATCGAAACACAAGTCAGTCAGCTGCTTGGGACTGGTTTGGGGGTCTTTTGTTGGGCCATTTATATTTTTCCCCTCTGAACATCGACTAAATGATGTTGCGTTCTCACCTGACTAGCCAGTCCACCTGAGAACCATCCAAAAAGTCGTCAGTTGGCTAAAGGGAAACCAGACGGTCAGTAGCGTCCATGTGACACATATTCATCCACGCAACACTGCGTCTGTCGGCTGAAGGGTTTGCCGAGGCAGTACAATAAGACCTGGCAATTGATGAGCTTTCTGGAATTCCAACGCGCGCTGGGTGCAGTGATGTTCCTGAGCGAGTTGCGAGTGAAGCAGGACATGTGACAACGGTCAGAATGTGAGGCTTTTTATCCATTGTGACATATATTCAGAAGGAACAGGGGACAAATCGGGCTGGGAAACTTAGTGAGTCCCTTGTTCCTCGCAAACGGACCACAAGCAACTACATGGATCACAATTGTTGCCCTCCCAATGCCAGGCTTCTTGTTTTCCTGAGAGCGCGCGTGTCCAACTACGGGGACCCCAAAATCAAATTTGAGACATGCGCACAGAAGGCAGTCCACCACATTGCACACTCCAATATGGATGCTGGCAGAGTTTGTTCCCCACACAATCCAGACTCAAAGCCACACCTCCCCTGACAGGAATGTCCGCCCAAAGAAATGGCAGAACTTCTGCAGTTCCTTGGCTGAATGAATGGTTCTTGCTGGTTCTCAGTTTTGGGGGAATGATCCTCTAAGCCCCCTCAGTTGATGATTTATAGGACTGAGAACTTGCCCTGGCCTGCAAAACCATGTGAACTTCTCAGCTGCAGCGCAAGCGATGCCTCTAAGCCATTTGAAGTGTGAGGGAAGCTTGAATTGCAACCGAGGAAGATTGCGAGAGACAACTTGAGCAGCCTGTCAGCAACCTTTGGCAGCTGGCCGAGCCACCATCTCTATATCCTTGCGAGCCGAGGTCAAATAGCAAAACCGAAGCCTGTTCCCAAGGGCCGCGCACAGAAGCCCGTCCGCGGAAGCCTGCGTGGAAGCCAGCGTGGAAGCCAGGGGTAGCCGCTTCCTTGCACTGCCGTAATTCTGTGCGTGGTTTCTGCGCGAGTTCATTCGTGCTTGCTGAGCAGCAGCCAAGGTAAGCCAAGTGCAACTTACATCCAATGCTGGCTTGGATTGCTTGCAGATGTTTTTCACACATCGGACCTCCTACGAGGTTCGGTCAAGATGTCCAGTAGCGTCTATGGCCCATTTGGGAAGGCCATGGAGGAACAAAGTCCAGGAGACTCACTAAATGCCTTCTTAGATTCTTGGGGAAGCGTCGAATTTTTGACCACACCTCATACATAGAGCTGCTTAAATACGTTGAAAAGAGGTGCGTGCGCCAGTTGGCGGCGAGATGCGCCTGCCCGATTGCAAGGGCGTGAGGGTTTCCGGACCGCTTTGGGACCCCTCCAATATTTGCAGCAGTTCCATGGTTTCCCATTGACCTGGGCGCCAAACGAGCCAAGCCTCAAAATGTGCCAAATGGGATGCATTTACTGCATCCGACACGCCTGCATTGAACACCAAATCTCACTTTCGGCCTCGCTGCGGTAGGCCTTTCTGAAGACCAGGGACTTTGGCGCCGCAGCCTGCGAGGCCGCTGCCGTGCTGCAGGCGAGGCCTGGTGAGCCCAAAGCTGTGGCGCGCTATGCGCAGGCCCTGCGAGGCCGGACTCGGACGCACAACGAGGGGTGTTGCGGCTTGACGTTGTCGATCGACATTGCGGATCGGTTTTGGTCGGTTCGTGACGTTTGTGGCCTTTTTGCATTTTTTGCTCTGTGCTAGCTGCTTTTGCTGCTTTGGCCGATACGAATTGGAATTGTGCGCCGTTTGGCTGTGACGGGCTTCCTTTTGAGGCCTGGGTACGGAGCGCTTAGCAGCCCGAGCAGAGGGATCCCCATACGAGGTGCGGCCATGCACATTTGCCGGCGTTTGGTTTTTTTGGGCATGTTTGGAGCAGTTGTTCAGTTGTTTTAAAGGAAGACCAAAGGGAAACCCAGGAGACTCTTGTCTTCTTGTCTTCTGTCTTTGTTCTCCAACAACAGGTGTAGGCACGGACACTTTGTGATTGACGTGGATGGCTATGGGCCTTTTTGAGGCAAACATTGCCGTCTCGTCAGCAAGTTTTGATCACCCAAGTCCGCAGGTTGATCTGGCTGAATGGCAGACGGTGACGGCGGCAGCGGCCAAGGCTGCAGCCAAGTTTGCTTTGGCAGGCAGGTCGCGTCAAACTGTTGGATGATGGCCTAGCATTCCAGTTTTACTCCCCCTAATTCTAGCAATCCGTCTTCTCAGCAAATGCGCCAAACAACCAGGAAGTCTTGTATTGTGGTTTCTTGAAAAAAATGAAGGGTGAAAAGAATCGGCAATGCACCTGTACACCTAGAATTATTACAACTCAGGACTCATAATATGCCTCAGAATTGCTGTGGCATTTAGCTTGTCAACTTGGAGTATTCGATCAATTTGCTGTGTTGGTTTTGCAGATCCAGCACTGCTGGTTGCGCTTGCAGGACATGCGGTGGCTATTGGTAGCTCCAGCTGTTTGGCTTTTGGTCTGATCTCCTGACAGAAATTGCAAGACGCTAAAGATGCTAGGAAGATCTTTGGTGATTTCTGAAGTAGGACATTCAGCATTGTTTGTGCCACGATGCTAGACCAACGTGCGTGTCATGTTTTTGCAATATCAGACACTTCTACCCGGACCAGCAACATTGCCACTGCCCCTAGCTTCGAAGGTTTGATGGGAACCCTTGGAGCCTCCGGAACCCCCAAACCACTATAAACCACCACCTAGTGGAGAACGGGGTACATATCTTTCGCAGAGTGGCTATCTTTTGTTGTTACGTATACCAATTAACCCCGTGGGGGGTAGTGGTTTTGGGTACCGGTGGTAGAAACCTTACAGGAACCTCAGTTTGGGGTAGTGGAATCCCATCTTTGGAGCACCAGTGCAAACCAGTTGTTGAATAGTGGGAAACCATCCTTGACTCAGAAGCTCAGTGACCATGGGCAAAACGAGCAGCTTCTGTTGTTGGTTGAATTTGAGGGGGAACCCCTTCCCTAACAAAGAAACGCTGGTAGGGGGGGCTTTGGCTTCCAGTTTGCCAGGGTCGCCGCCGGTCGCCATGGGCTCCAACCTGGCAGCAAAGCGAGCGGTGGACAGTGCGAAGGACCCATGCGGCTCCTTGGTGTGGGACACCCCCGCTGGAAGCCAGCCGAAAGCAAAACGTTTTCATGGGCCACGAGCGATTGTACAGGGTCGCCGGACAAAGGCGTACAAGGCATACATGGCAATGGCAAAAGACCATTTAAACATTTGTATACGTCCGATGTTCCCTCTGAAGTAGATGTTAAGCTTGCAGAACCAAGAGCTTCAGGATCTTTTTGGCTTACTTTCGAACCGCTTGCAGATCTATACGCTGCTGTGCTGCAAGCTGTGACTCCAATTTGGAAGTGTCTTTGTTGAGGGTATCCTTTCAAGTTTTGAGTTTTTTTAACAGTCCATCCACGGGAAGCCGCTTTTTGCGGCCCGCAATCGACCTGTTTTCAGTGCGCCAGGAAGCAGCCAATGAAGAGTGCGCCTTTGAGCCGCACATGGCCATGAGAATGTGGGCTTGCTTGCGATGTTTGGTTCATGAAGGTGGCCGTACAGGTACAAGAAAGGGAACTACGTGGCAGCAATCGAAGGCACTGGCCGAGGGGAAGGTGAAGCTGAGGGAATTGTTTTTGAGTTGGTACCGGTCGGTATTCAGGGAACTTCCCTTTTTATGTTGGTATTCAAGAGAATGTCAAGCGACTCCACCTGTTTCTTGTTTCCCTTCCAAAACACGACACACCCAAATCGGGTTTGCTTCCTTGCCAGGCTATACGCGCGCTCTCGGCTTTGATCCTGTGCTGGAAGACGCCTCTGCCATTCTCAGCAACTTAGCGCATTGCAGGCCTGCCCCAAATGTGGCTGCGTTCTCAACATCGGGGGGTGCTTCCTTCTTTCCAGCCTTCTTTGCAAGGGTTCCAAACGAAAAGCAACTACCAAAAAAGGTGCCCGTTTTTGCCCATGCCACTGGGCAGCCTGAAAAAAAATGGTGTTACCATGGTTCGTTGACCGCTCACCTGGTAGGCCAAAAGTGAAACCCTGCTGAAAGCCGCGAGGCTTTGGCTTGGCCAGCCGCACTGTGCGGTCCTTGGGTCGCGCACCCGAACTGAAAGCGTGGAGCTCCACACAAGTGGCATTGGCTAAGGATGTGTTTGGCTGAGCCAAAACACCCAGTGGCGTTTGCCCCCGAATTCGGGCCTTTTGACAGCCATTCGGGGTTCGCCCCAATTTTCAGCCCATGTCCCGCGGGGTTTGCTTGCGTACCAATGCAACGCTCGGACGGATCAGTCGAGGTGCGGTGGCTGCAGCAGCCACGTGCTTGCGCTTGCGGCCCCGCACTCTGGGCCTTAAGGCCACAGCGAGATTCGAGTCAAGTCCTGGTTTGCTCCCTGCAAACGAGAGTAACTTGGGTTGCCTCGCACAACGTTTCCCAGAATATGGAAGGTTCCTCCAGAAAACGCACTTTTTCGATGTTCACATTGATTTAAAATTAAGGTGCCATAAATTGTTGGTTGGTTGGTCCTTTTGGTGTCCCTTTAGAGCCAACCAAACAATCCCCCCCAAAGAAGAAGCAGAAGAAGACACCCCGCTAGTCTCTAGTTCTGGCGGTTCTGGTTTAGAAACGGGTTCAAGCAACCTGTTGTGACAGTTCAACAACCGTTTGCTCAGGTTTGATCAAGTCCTTCGTAAAGCAATTTTTTGATCTTCCGTGGTCAACCCGTTCACGCTCTGAACAAGCCTTTTAGCAAGCCGTTTGGTTTTCCCTTTTCAAACCAATAGCTTCCTTTTGGCGCCCCTTCAACTCCACTCAAAAGGCCCCGTACCAAAGTCCTGTTAAGCATTGTTTGAGCCAACCATTCAACTCCTTGTTGAAATGGTTTGAACCAATGTGGTTCTGATTTTTAATAGTGGGAGCATCCTCCATTGTTGGCGGTTGCAGACATACAGCCATGCCTTTTTGGATGTCCACCAAGGGATCCATTTCCACTTAAAGATCGGATCATGCCCATGTTGAAACAACATCTGTTTAGTTTATGTTTAAAGGGGGGCCGAAAGGCTGTCAAATGACAGTTGCCCTTGGGGGCAAACCCTTGAACGTGGAAGGGGATTTGTGAACAGAGTCTCAGGCTTCTGGTTTTGAAGTGATACTTGTATATACGTGAGCAGCGGTAAATACTCACCGCACACCAAACTCACTAGGAAATGGAGGTTACTCACCAAAATCCAATCTCCCTGGAAGGCACAACAAATATTGACCAGGTCGCCCATGTTGCGGGCACTTCTAATCAAGCCAAATGTAACCTGCTCCTTCGACAGCTGTCAATGTTTTCCGAGGCACGCTTCTGCTTGTTGAGGGGTTCTCAAGATTACTTTTAAGGTTGATTTCCCTTCAAACCACGTTTTGGCGTGTAATCTGGAGGATGTCGCTTTAATGGACCCATTCCATTTCAGTATTTTCAAGTCGAGGTCGAGAGATGAACATCTGACCGCGAAAATGAAACATGGCCAACGTGAATATGACGATGCAGCATCACGAGCAGGCGTTTGGACAAATCAAAGTGACTCAACCAAATGTATGGGTATATGTCCAAATAGGGGGGACCTTCCCCAAAACTGTGGTTTCCCCTTCGTTCCCTTCAAATCGAGATTAAACAGGGTACCCTCAATTGTTGAGGTCAAGCCAGATCGGGGGCTTGCCAGAAGGGTTTGAACCCGAACCATGTGAAGGTGCCCCTTCTCACATGTGCGGCCGATTTCCAAAACACCTGTTGGCTAAGTTGGTATTATGTGTTTGGTTCTACTGGGCTAAAGAGGGATTGCAGCAACTATAGTGAGGAGGGATGTGAGTGTTTGGTGTGTGTTTGGTTTAGGCACAGCATGGGGGAAGCACCCTAATTCCCGACAAAAGTCACAGGAACCACCAAGTGTTGCTTTGGCTCAAGTGAGCCTGTTAATCTCATAGTGAATACTCAGTGCCCCAGAGTTCCTGGGTCTCTCGAGAGGCCTTGCGACGGCTGACGGCAGGCTTGGCGTGCCTAGGCCGGCCGGTCTACTTGGAAAGTTCTTAAATGAGAGTGTTGGCGGTCCTCTTTGGTAGGCGGCAGGGTCCAAGGAGCCAATATGTTTGGCCACCTGATCTGGAAGTCTCCAGGTGTAGAGCAGCTGCCCTGAGGCTCAAGTCATTGGGCATAAAGGGACCCTTTCAATGGGTTCCGATCGCTTGAACCAGGACCATGTGTGTAGCATAGCAGTCTACAAGGAGCATATCAGCATATTTGTTGGGTCAAGGTAAAAGACTCAGTGGGCCTGTGAAGCCACTCACCGCTCGGCAGGGCAGAAGTGAACTGCATTCCACCGGCTTGCAGTCACAGCTTCGGCACTGGGTACTGTATTTCTCAAAGTAGGGCAATTTCGTTTTTCATGACTCTGGAAAACCAAAGTAAAGTCAACCCCCTGTTTCAATGACTTCCAAGAGGACCAAACGAAAACCCGACCACTTGCAGTCCCGAAGCTTGCACAGTTTTCTGGCTCGAAGCTAGGTGAGTGCGCCGTGGCTCAGGAAGTTGCAGAGCTGCGAGGGCCTCAGTCACAGTCGTTCGATGCGGGTATGTGTCAAATAGGGGACGTGAGTTGTGCGTCGGTGTCCTTTTGGTGTCCCTTTAAGCCCAGATAAAGCAATGGTAACGTCAAAATCACAAACACACACTCAGGGGTTTTGGGAATGAAGTCGAGATTCCCTTAACGGACGCCACAAGTTGGATGAGTAACCATGAGGGGTCATTCCCGAAGAATCCTTGATCAACAGCAATATAGTTTCGATCAACATTTCCTGTCAACGGTCCATTTGGGAGGGAATTGGGAGATTCTCGAGGTACATAACATGTCCACAATTTGTATCTCTAAAGTAATGTAGCTTGTGAGTCCGGCCATCGAGGTTTGCAAAGTCAAGCTTCTCGGCGGCTTGGCTCATTGACAAACTTGTCACCTTCATGCGGCGCTCAAGAGCCGAGGCTTCGGCGCAGTGTGACAGGCTTGAAAGAGACAGGGAGCTGCTTGGAAGGCTTGGCAGGATCCAGAGAGGATCCAGCGGATCCCTGGAGGAGGCTGAGGAGATAAGTCTCCCCTTCGAGTTCTGTGGCCCAATAGCGATGACGGATGGCAGAGTCTGTGTGACGGAAGCTGTGTCCCAGGGCCGGCTTCTCCTGGTGGTGAGGCCGCTAGGCACCGAGCTCCAGAAAAGTTCAGATGACAAGCTTCAATACGTTTGCAGTACCAACGGGGCGGCCAAAGAAGTCGCCCAAAGGCTCCTTGACTACAACTTGGTTGCATCATTAACATCTTGTGTGTTCCCCACACGCCAACCAAAAGTTGTGTTTTTCTGTCTGCAAAAGGGGCAATGGTAATCGCCACCAAGGCTCAGCAGCGTCCTCGTCCGCGGCGTTTCCTCAGTTTCTTCGCTGATGGTTTCCATTGCCCGCACACTGCCGCTGCTGAGCCAGCGTGAGCTCAAACCATTGCCAGTGAACTTCGGAGAGGTCTTCGTGGGACGAAATATGGATAACCAGCTGGGACCCTTAGGGACGCCAAAAGCAGGCTGTTTACACACTCCCTAAGTGTCCAGGTACCTGCTGGGGGGGGAGACACCTTGGCCTCATTTAATTACCCCTTTCGCACATCCTCAGAACTTGGTTTAAGCATGTTTGGAGATGGATGGCACAATTTTCCCGATGTTGGTCACTCGTCATCCTCTTTACTCACATCTGTCGTGTCAAAATACGAGCGGGGCAAAACGGATTTCGGTTTTGCTTTTGGTTCCCTTTGAACCATCCGGACCAAATTACCTAAAGAACCACCCAAAGAGCCGTCAATTTGTGACGCTCCTTTAGACCAACTGCAAATGGGTACCCCCCTGGAGGTGTCTACTTCTGGGTCGAACCTCAGCATCCTGGCACTCTGCAAGTGCCATGAGTGCGGCAACTGCGAGGTGCGCCCACTGGGCCAAGCGCTGGCCGTGTTTTGGCGGCAATTGGGCGTTTCCCTTTGAACCCATCCAGAAAGGGAGCCCTTAATTGGTTCGTTTCCTTTCAGTTGCCCTTTGGATCTCTTTCCTTTTGGTTTCCTTCCAAAATGGAGGACACCTAAACATGTGTCCCGTTTAAACACATCCAGAAAGGGGTCTACTGTACAGGAGTTGGGGTGGTTTTCCAAAATAGAGGAAGACCCGGCAACAATGAGTTGTTTCTTTGGGTGGTCCATTGAAACCATCCAGAAGGGGGCCTATTATATGAGACATGATTTCTCAGAATCAGGACACCTAAAACTGGATTGTTCTCTTGTGGTTTGCCTGTAGAACCATCTCAAACTAAAGGACCCCAAATTGAGTGTGTCCTTTTTCCGTCCAATTGAACTCATCAAGAAACCCACGTGGCTTTGCATCCTTTTGGCCACTCCAGCTTGGCCCTTGCAAGGTGCTGGCAGCAGATGAGCTCCAAAGTGGGCAAGAGCTGCTTTTGCGTGAGCCGGATCAAATCGAATGCATTGCCCGCGGGTTTCGATACCACAGGCTCAAGGGTTTCGATACCGATCGCGGATTCTTTTGACGCGCGGAGGATGTTCCGCGGAAGATTTGTGTCTCAAAGGGACCAAGGCTGGGGACTGCGACAGCAAATGCTCGCCAGGCCACCCCCTTGTACTTGTGCCAGAGGCGCTGCAAGGCCGGACCTGGACTGACTGAGTCAGGCTGGGCGGTGGCTAGCAAATCCCGGGTTTGGGGTGCTTGTGTTCGACCAGGGTTCCAGGCAGCTTTTCTTTGGCAGGTAGATCAAAGGGAAAAGCGGCTGTTTTAGGGCGTTCCTCATTTTGAGACATCCCTATTTGACAGTATTGGCAGCCCAATGATTGGCAGCCCAATGATGTGAGCTTATGAGTAGTAGCTTGCCCGAAAGGTAGCCATAGGCACCGATTGGTAGATCAGCACTGATGCTTGTCGGTACCCCTGCCAAATGTTGTCATAGTTGGAGTCTTTTTCGGAGCATACATTATGACGAACTGTTGTTTACCAAGTCCCACAGGAGGCTTGGGTCTGGACCCCGAAAATTGTGGTTTACCTTTTGGCTTCCCTTCAAACAGGGTTCCCTATAATCGCGTCTTTCGGCGGGCATCCCTTTTTTCGGGCCTGTTTTAGTTGGCTTTCCTTGTGGGTAACGCTTACAGGGGAAACATGGCTATGATTTTCTATGGGGAACCCCCTCAATTGAAGTTCACACCCATATAGGGAGCCCATTCTCAGGAGGCCCAAGCTTCGGTGGAGGCGGCTGGGGGCAGGATGATGATTGCCGCAAAGGCGCCACTGCGGCTGGGCTTGGGCAGTTCTGGGTTCGTGCGAAGGTTTGGCTTGAATCTTGTCGGGTTGGATCTGTCACCTTTAGTTCTTGAGGGAAATGATGATTTTCTCAACCAGCAAGCAAAACTTCTTTAGCAGGGCCTTCAATGGGGTTCTGGTTCTTTGTTCTTGCGGTTCTGGGGATGTCTGTCCGAGGTTTTTAGTGGGTTCTTGGATATTTCTGGAGCCTTCTAGAAGAGCTTTCCACAACACCAACCCGTCAGAACCCCCTAGAACCCTCGGAACACCAGAACGTCGAGAAATCCAGAAATGGTGGACTTCTGAGGGCTTTTGGGGCGGTTCTGGGGATATTCGGAGGCTCTTTCTGGTGATTGCTGGGAGATTGCTGGGAGGGTTCTAGGAATTGTTTGAACATTGTTTGTTTTTTGCTGCTCACTGGGCCCAAGGCCTGGCTGTTGAAACTCATTCGATCCAGCGCTATTGCGGTTCTTCGCAGCTTTCCCCATTGAGGTGTCCTTCCAAATTCAAAGCTGTGAGCTTTTCCCTTGCTCCCTTTTGAGGGTTGACAATGACTGTCTCTAGTCACTGCTTCTTTTGGGTTTAGAAGAAAGGGACCTTTTGAAGAAAGAGACGGTTGTTGATTGGTTACCATGTTCCCAACCAGTTGACAGACACCGTAAACAGACATGAATGTTTCCAAGCTGATCAAGTGAAGCCAAACGAGTCGGGCTGACTCACTTGGGGAAAAAGTATGAACAAGTCGGTCGCCAGCCGGCAGGAACAGGCCGAGGAACTGAATGCGCAATACGCTGCTCGTCTTCGAGAGTTCCAGGCGCCTTTTGTTCAAGCGAAATGTCCGCTGTTCTCGTCTACAACATCGCGCCGAATTCCCTATACTCCCCTGTTGTGGTGGTTTCAATAATTGCTGGAAAAAGCAGAACGGGGGGGGGCCGGAAGGGTGTCCAATTAGTGTGCTTGCTGTGCTCTCGAGTTCTTTCTTGTGGACTAAACCGGTTAGTGAGCCTGAAACAAACACATATATTTATGCAGACAACTGGGAGTGGACATCACCCTCACCTGATGTCAATAAAACACATAAGCTCAGGTGATATCCCCAACAGCATACGGCGCTCTTCTTGCAGAACCTCGTGGAACCCTCGTGGAACCCTGGTGAAACCCCAGTGGAACCTTACCTCAGGGCCGCCCCGGACCACCCCGGAGCCAATCTGGGCTGAGACCCCAAAGCTTTCAGCTGTTGGGAAGTAATATGTGAAAACCATTTTTTTCCGCATTTGGAAGCAAGAGATGTCGTTGCCTAAATGCTGGGCGTGGGCAAAAGATAAAGTAAACAAAAATGGCTAGAAGTCATTGCAAAAAGAAGAGAAACTCGATGGAGATACCTTTTAGCTAAGAAAGAGTGAAACAGATCTGGGGGCCACAATGAGATACAACAAAAATCAAGGACTAGGCAAAGAGGCCGATCGATTAGATTCATCATACATGACATTGAAGAAGAGTCAGGGTTTGACACTAACCAGTGATGACAAGGCAAACATGGTTGCATCCGCAATCTTGTCTGCAGCATTGCATGCCTCTGAGAAAAATGCAACAGGAGAAAAACATTTCAATAGATTACGGACTCGAATTGCCGAGGAAATATACCCATGTAAAGGGCACCCAAACCCTCACTTGGTGTGTGCTATACAATCTCAAAAGAATGTCGAC